ACCCAGACGCTTCCCATTCCCAACCTGCCGTCACTGCTCCCCTCCTTTCTGAGCATCCCTCTGCTCGGTTTGCAGCTCCGCTCCCCGTCACGCCAAGCTCCCAGGTCCAGTACCTGCCCCTGGCTGCACCCATGTTCTCCGAGCAGGGAGTCATCATATCCTTGCAAGTAAGTCCTCGCTTCCCAGCACTCACAGCCCAGCTCCAGGCTTTGGGAGAGCCGCTTCCTCCCAGAGCTACGTGCCCCGAGACACCTCAAACTCCTTCTCTCCTTGCCCATGTCCCTGCAGACGACTTTCAAGGTGGCAGGGATAGAAATCCCCCTGCCAGTCAGCCCCGTGCCGTTCAGCGTGCCCGAGCCGGCGAGCTCCAGCCCTTACCACTTCACCCTGGCTTTCTCTGAGCACTTCTACACCAGCCTCTTCTTCGCCCTGGAAACGGCTGGAGCCTTCAACATGACCATCCTGGTGAGTAGAGCAAGTGAGCAAGGAAGGAGCAGAAAATATGCATTTGGAGGGACAGCCCTGCCCCACAAATGGCTTGGAGGAGCCGTGCACCCTGCAAAGAAATGAGAGCATGTCTCTCTGAGTGCCCGTGGGAGTTGCCCCTCACACCCGGGCTCCCAAAAATATTGCTGGTCTAACGATGCATGGAGAATTTGCCATGAAGAGTAACGAGGATGCTGTTCCTGGCATGTGCTGGCATGCAGGAAGGCTCCTGCGTGTATCTGCGCGTGGGACAGCGCTCACGGCAGGGTCTGCACGGCCGTGCTGGACACGAGCCCCAGAGCAGCAGCCCCAAGCATCCGTCAGTCGGATCACAAGTCACGCTTTGTCTTTCAGAGCCCGCTGACCACCGCCACCATGGCACAGAACATTACTCAGGTTCGTTGCCGTTGCTGTCGCTCCGAGAGGCACGGCCCCAGCTCGGGCAGTGCCCCCCGGCCGCCTGCCCACCACCCCGGGGCACAGGGGACGGCTGCCGTGCCCAGAACTAACCCCCCTCCCTCGGCAGATGGGCTCCCTCTTCCAGGACGACCTACCGGTGACGCTGCAAGCCGTGTTCAGGAGCACGCCTCGCGTGGTGCTGGAGGAAGACAAGGCAGCCCTGAAGCTCTTCCTCACCGTCCACGTCGGGGCGGGCTCGCCGGCTTTCCAGAGCTTCCTGAGT